AGTGCTCAAGTGAAATCCAGGTCCTTTTAATTGAGATGGTAATTTACAATTCCTGTCCTGGCTCAGAGTGTCCTCCCTGACATGAATTATCTGGTCACCCTACTCTCCAGGAAAAAAGCAGGGATATCCAAGGAAAGACCCCAGAAAAATGGTGAAAATCATTAAAATGTGCGGTGAAACCCACTCCTTTGCAGTGGTCAGTGAGTTGCAGTAAGCTCCACTGTAAACACATTTAACTTTTTAAAAAACCTTTGCACCCTGCTTTTTAATTACAATTCGTGCACTGTTCCTTTAAATGTAATATTTAAGCTGTTTTTTTGCGACAGAAGTAGGCTCTCTAGCGAAGATCATGGCGGCCGCCTTGAGTGCAGTTTCTGATGTAGAAATTGACCCCGATGGGGTTTTTAAATACATATTACTGAAGGTGAAAGTCAAAGATGGATCAGAACAAAAAGACATAGTGAGAGGCACGAAGAGTGCCGAATATCACAGTAAGTTTTAAAATCTAAGTAAACGTGGCCTGACCGCTGCAGAGCTGATAATAGATAGTTAGAATAATATACATGCTGCAATTAAAACATCCAGTCGACTAGGAAATGCACACGTCATATTTGAAAATCTACTATATTAGATTGCAAGGTAATGAAACCGAAAGTAACATTTCTTGTTACAGCTTAAAGAGGTAGCTGGCAGATAAAGTTGCAACTAAATATAACTTGCCTTTCGACTAATACAGCTCGTAAATATAGCTGGTCGATTGCTATAGCTTGATACATGGTAACCATTAATCACGCCTTCGGTAATAACTTAGCTACAGAACGTTGAATGAAGTTTTGCCACAAGTATATAGGCCTAAGTCGGGAAATGATTGGATATTTGTCCTAACTGGTAAAACGTTTGTTTATGTTAAAGTAATTTTTAGATAATAGATGTGAGAAAGTTCTAAAATAATATGGTTATTTAAAAATATATATTTCTCGCAATTCCTCCCCGTTTTAGATCACATATTTGAAAAGGTCAATCCAGAGATGGAGGATGCAGGGCTGGACTGTACCTGCCTAGGGGGAGGGAAGATCGAACACAACTCCAAAGAGAAAAAACTCCGAGTATTTGGCATGTCTACTGTAAGTGGGCTTCCCGTACTGCACTTTCAAAATTAATGAACGAAAAAAGAAATAGAAAAAATTCCCTGTTATGGTTTGCTTCTTTACATAATTACACAAATTAACATAAAAATATCTGTTTTTTAGGGTTATGGCAAGGCGGATCATTCTATAACCGTCGAGAAGCTGAAGGTGGCCTATAAAGATTATGAAATCACCTGGTCAGATGATAAAAAGTAGATGGTGTAATATAGTTTACAAATACATGGTATGGAAGTTGCCAGAAATGCATTGAAAGTCGCAGTTAATTGCTTAGATGCCAGCTGACAAAAATCATAATTATTTTATTTTTATTTTTATTTTTTTTGGGGGGGGGATCATTTCTGCAAAATGGTGAAAACCCTATCCGCATTACAGAAAACATTTTCATTTTTATTTTATTTCTCATATTAATTAACATTCGCTTTATTTATTATAAATCTTTCCTACGTGTGTGTGTATGCAATATGTATCATGTTAGGAATGTGCTCAACATTTGAAAACTTGACACTTCGATCCCTACCTTATCAGGTTTTCTCCTTCATATAAATTACATATGTACAGTGGCATCTGGGTTATCTTTGAAAAAACATGGAAGCCAGAATGGCCACACGTCAGTCTCAACTTTCAGAGAAGTTTTATAGGCATTTAATTTCTGTTTCTAAAACCATTCTGGATATTTTCTTGTAGAAGAGCAGAAGTCCCATCATTTGTTCATATATGTGCATCAAATAAAAACATTTGGCCATTCAAATTTTTCTCTGTTTGGGAGTTTCTTTCTACTCAGACTTGAGTCTAATTGTGCTGCTAGAGGTGTATGTGTACATATGTTTGCCATAAGAACAGCACTCAGGTATATGTTTAGCTGGACCATTTGGTTTAAGAACTGTGTGTCCCTGCTGACTGCAGATGATAATAAACATGACATATTTACTGCTCTTCAGGAGACCCTGTACTTTGAAGTCAAAGAGACCGAGATCACACTGGGTGCTTATCTGGTGGTTGGTTGTGGGAAAGGTCACAGGATAGTTGTAGAATACATTCATTGTTAGTTTCAAACTACCATGTGAGAGACTGGGCGAAACAGAGCAATTCTTTTTCCCTGTGTATTCATTTCCCAGAATTGGTTGTAGGCAATTGAAGCACAATTCACAGAAAAGCAAATACAGCAGCTGTTGATAAATTTATGATAAGCAATGATTTTCTTCCCACAAATTCAGAAAATTCCTGTAAATGCTCACTAAAATTTAGATGGGACATGATTTTCCCCGTATTTTTGTGCCTGGACTGAAATACAATTTACCCTCCCCAACGTTTTATAGCACGGGGGGTTCTGTTCATGTTAATGCACCTCTGGTAATATTGCTGGATGTTATTTTATATGTATTTTCCAAAAGTGCCCACTATTCCAAGAGTCCAGAACATACATTAAGCTCTCAATATGAATCACGGTAAACAGCAACTGCCTTATTACCATCTTCATATCTTAACTGAGTACATTATTGAAAGATATATTGAGAAAATGGTACAATGGAAGGAGATAAGATTCAAGATTTATTTTCTGTATCAAGAACATCCATATTGTAACATTTAATGACAAAGATAAAAGACCATGAAAGAAATTATAGTAAGCATCCATCAATCCATCCATCCATCCATACTTCGACTGCTAATCCAGTACAGGATTACAAGAATGATCAACACAATTTGGAAAATATTATGCTAACATAGAATTACACAATAAGAGGTAAGTGAATGATTCAACACAACTGAAGTAAAAAACACAGAAATATAGGATATGTTTTTCATAGTATTTGAAGATATTTAGATATTAGCAAATACAACTAATAACATGATCTTATGCCAGGACTGTGGAAAATTGAGTTTTGATTTTAAATGTTTTCAAAACAAACATGACATGAGTTTTGTACTTATTTTTTTCTGAGCATCTCTCTTAGGATAGCATACAGTAAAACCATACACTTGTATTCTAATAACTGCAGACCAAGTAACTCGATAATGGCAGTAAGTGGCACAACACAAAGGACAAAGACTTGTAAGCCAAGGTATGACGGCTCACACTTCAGAAGGAAGCCTGCTGTAGTGCAAGGGAAATACCTAGCTATAATAAGTAAAACGTTGACATATTTATGGTATTAAAATGTGATGAAATACATATTAATATTATGACTGTGGTTACGTTAATCATACTGACACAGGTCGTGATTAATTATATGGGGAGGAAGCAACATAAAGAAAAAAATTATCGTAGCACCAATCTCATAGATGAAATCCAATTTGTTATTTCGTGTATTGACTTATTTGAAGGCTTCGATCTCGGTACTAGAACAACAGCCACTCTCGGCCACTGTGACGTAAACACCATGTGACACGGAAAGCATTGAACAGAGAGCACGCTCTGGAACCAACCAAAAGTTCGGTTTGAGTAAATGTTTACCACTGCCGAAACTATACATATTCCAGTATTATAATCTATAAAATAATATGTTATGTATAAATATCGAATACAAATTTATATTAATTACATAATAATTAAGGTAAAATATTACCCATTGTTTTCCCCTAAATTCTAGAATAATGGTTTAATCCACGTTCAGTGACGGAAAGACGAAATGGAGGCAAATTTGGATTTTGGAAAGCTGAGGTACTGTTATCGCAGAATGTAGTTATAAAAATACCAGGAAGCGTTGGGGAAGTCATTTTTTGAGAACTAATATAGCATACGAGGTGGGGTTTTTTTTGTAATTGAGAATATTCTGGCATATTGTTTTTGCATCTCACTAAGTAGGCGACGTTACAAGCAGCTTGTAGCCCTAAACAAGGCTCTTTTTTGTTACCGCGATCTGTGTCTTGACGCTCACAAAATACTTAAATGATACATGCAGAAAAGTTGTTTATCTTGCGTAGTCAGTGATAGGATTGACTCAAAGTCGATAGAGAAGCGATGAGTTTGCAAGTGGCAGTTTGATCGGCTGATGGGAAATTATTATCAGAGAATCTAATTTTGATCTTTTGATTTTAATATTGATTTCGCCCCCTTTTTTCTTTCTTTTTTTTGTTGCAGAAACTGGTAGGTGCGTGAAGGCGTGACAATGTCACAGACCACACTTTTGGAGGAGGTGACCTCCTGGAGTCCGGAGACCTGTGGCCAGGAGCTGATGTCTGTCCTACCAAAGCTGGTCATATCCTTTATTTGACTGCAAATATGTCATTGCAGGACCATTAGGACCTGGAGGGATTTTAAGCACTTAAAAACATTAAACCACCTTGTGGTCTGGTTAGCTTGTGTCCCTTCATCATTGACTAAATAGGTTCCGGTGTTGTGCCCTACTATGAAACAGAAAACCAAACCTTTTATTCTTGACTCTTCATACTCTATGTATCAAAACACCAACAACTGGGAAGAAAGTATACGTAAGTGTTGTCAAACTACTATTACTTCGTATTTGTCACTTGGTGTGTTTTTCAAAGGCATGCTATGTCCATCGTCCATAAATCATTATCTGATCCCCTCAGGTATCCTGAGAATAATCTCTGAGATGTTTCTTCCACATCTCAGAGTGTCTGACCTGGAAGAAGAGTGTTTCTCCAAGGTGTTACCCAAGGTGAATAATTTTAAATTGCTAGGCTGATTGCATCGCAGGAGTACTTGGTCAATGTCACAGTGAATCGTGATGTCATTCCTACAGGTGGCAAAGGTGTTCAGTAGTTTAATGGATGAGATTTCAAAACAAATTGGGGAACTGTCCAGTCAGAACTCTGAGCTGCGGTCATATCTAAGGAATATTCTTCAGGTAAAGGATGCTTTAATAACATTGCTATCTTAGAAAGTTCTAGACATTATTGAGTCTAACATTTTATATTTAATATCCTTCTTGAACTTCAAACTTTAGTTTTGAACTTGTGCGATGTGCCGGTTTCCTGTCCTAACAGGAAAGCTTCTGGGATTGTCATAAAAAGAGCGGTAACATTGTTTTAATGTACTGAATGATATGTTTCTTACTTAGAATATATTCTCTTTAGTGTTTTAAGTTTACCAATCGTTTTCACACACTTTTCAGCTCATGATCCAAGTGCTGGAAGTTTTGTCAGGTGTCATTCGTCTCCTCTGTGCTCCTGACAAAAGTCTGACCTTGGGCTCAATTCGGTCTTTACCATCTTGCGTTCTGAAGCTTCTGAAGGACACCTTTGAGCACTGTAAGGTAAGGTTCCCTCCCTGCTAAGAATCAGCAGCTTCAGATTCAGCACTGACAACGTATTTAACATGTTGATTTTGCGTACAACAAATGTCAACTGATTCATTGCCAAACCTCAGTTTTTCTTTATTCTCTGTGACGGTTTCTCCTCTGTCTTGCAGGACAGTGAAGCTGTATACTGCGGCCGACTGTCTGTGGTCGCTGACCTCCTTCAGGGCCTGTTTAAAGAGGCATACACTCTCCAGAAAGGTCTGATGGAGCTGCTGGACAAAACAGCCGTGGAGAACAAGATCTCTGAAGAGGAAATTTCTGATATTGTCATCGGTGGGTGAGGGGAGACAAAACTGGGAGCTCAGACTACTTTTGGAATTTCGTTGCCTCGCACCATCAGGGTTAGGGGTCTGCATCTAAGCTTCCGCACACTCTCCCTGTGTTGTGCGGGTTTTCTGCCACAGTCCAAAGGCATGTAGTTAGTCTGATTTGTTGTCTCTAGTTTGCTCATAGTGTATGACTGTGAGGGCATATGTGTACATGCCCTGGCTTTACCACCCAGGGTGCCCCCAGCCTTGTGCAAGGTTGTAACTGTTTTGTAACTACCTACTCTTATCGCTGGAAATAATGCCAGCTGTTTTTAATAACCCTTTCTTTTACAGTAATACATAGCCTTCTGGAAATATGCATCGTAATATCAAACCTGGATGTTGCACTGCATGCCAACACTTGGAAGTTTATCATTAAGTAAGTAATAATCTTAGTAAAATACATAAAATTGATTGGTCTTAATCACAAGCACGTCGTTTTCAACCTCCAAGGTATCAGTGTTAATGATTTTTTTTTACCAGGCTTCGGAATGGATAGATTTGATCGATTAAATGTGTGTTCCTGTTGTATTAAAATGGTAAGTAAAGATTCGTTTTGAATTTAATTTCTCGTTTTAGGCAGAGCATCAAGCACCAGGCCCTGTTGGAGGAGCATCTCCGTCATGGTGACATCGTTACTCGTCTGTGTGACGACTTGCTCGCCTCCTTCTACTCCTCTTGTGAGCTGGCTGAGGAAATGAAGCAAGCAGGCTTGCAGGTACAGTCCATGTTTGTTTGGCCTGTTTCTAGACTGCAGGCTTTATCTGCGGTTTGCTGTCTTGTTGACAACTGCCCCCACTTTCTTAAAGGAGGCGCAATGTCCTGAGTACAAGTTGTTCCAGAAATCGGCAAAAATGTGCCGGTTCTTTGCCAACACGTTGGTGCACTACGTTAAGGTATTTCAAGCAAAATCCTTTGTACATCTCTGCCACATTTTGTAGTAGTTTAATTGACTAATCAGTGTTGCCTGTCTCTGAAGTACCAAATTTATCATCTTAACTTAATCATCTTATCATAAATTTTTTGGAGGTGACATGAGCACCTTCAGCTGTATGTCAAAGCTATAGTGGTGACTGGGGGAAACATCAAGTTATAAGGCCACTAATATTTTACCTGATTATCATTTCACTTCTGCTTTGTGAGTAACTGTACCTTGTTCTTTCTCAACCAGGAATTCAAGGCTTTTCTGTCAAAATCCTGTGGCCGCTTTTACCATCTCTACCTCCAGATTTTTAGGTATTTAGTCAGTTACAGTATGTAGTTCTGTTTGGCTTATTATTATTGGTTGTTTATTTGGTAATAAGTCTTCCTTTGGGGTTTTTACCATGCTTTCCAGTAAGCTGCCCCCCAGCCTCTGGTCTGCCCCCATGGCGATTCCCCATGGCCTGGAGTTGAGCAGCGGGACCCTGACTGCTGTGGATGTCCTGGTCACTCAGCTGCTTCCCTGCAGAGCCTTTGTGGAGGTCGTCTTGGCTCCAGGGCAGGGTTGGTCCCTTCGTTACCCAGGCTGACACTTCCTCAGGTCCCTTCCAGACACTGATCATCACGCAGGAAGCACGCATTTCTCTTAATAGCCTTGTCGGGCAGAGGTTACGTCCCCAGAAGGAGAGAAAATGAAGTCATGGAAGGCAGATTATGTTTTTCCATTCAGTATGAGTGTAGTCACGTCTGTTGTTATTACCTTTGGTTCCAAGAAATCGTGAAATAGATGGTCCCTTTATAGCATAGTGAGTTGTCACAATATTTAACATGATAATGAAATAGTTCTTAATACTGTAATGTTTTATTTAATGATGTGTGTGTTTTTCAGAGTTGGTTCCAGAAACCCTGTTCCCACACTGCCTCCTACTCGTTAGCGTTGTGACCAAACTGCGCTCCCAGCCAGAGGAGGTGCTTTGCCTCTGGTGCGAAGGCAGCCGATTCCCGGAGGAGACGCCCAGGTACGCGCCCCGGCGTCACCGCGGGAACGGCCCTTCCCGTCTGCCGCCCTGTCCTGGCCTGAGTTTCACCTTCTGCCGGGCCCTGCCAGGCCCTCTGTCTTCCAGGCAGTGTTCCGGAGCTTCCGCCGGTGCTCCGCGGAGCGGGCCGCGCCCCTCCTGGTCCCAGGGGTGATGATGAACGGACAGGCGCAGAGCCAGGTGACTCTGCACCAGCACGTGTGCATCCAGCTGTGTGCCTGCGTGGCTGCTCTTCCAGCTTCCGTCTTCCCAAATTTGGTAAGAGCCCCGAAAGACAGCCAGTCCTCCTGTGTACCTCATGTACTATGCAAGTTTTAGACAGTCAAAGGTTTGGGAATATTTAAGAGTGTAGTTTCTCAATGTTTACTGTGAATTAGGAGGTTTGGTGTGAGGGTACTACTGAAAAAAATGCACCCCCCTCCCCCTTCCCAGGAGCGCTCCATGCTGGAGGCAGTACTTCAGCCTGACACCCAGACTGCCCTCCTCGCGACCGACATCTGGTGCTTCCTGGCTCGGTGAGCTGCTTCTGCGCGATTGGGGCCGATGGGCATCTCAGCACCACTGCTTTCCGATAGTCCGCTTCCAGGTCTGAGGCCTGCGGGAAATGATCGTGCCTTTAGGTGTAAGGACAGCAGGGAGGGATGTGCATTCACAATCGGGGGTCTGGCTCCAGTCCCGGAACGGAGACTTCTGCCAGAACTGCTCCAGTATCAGTATACAAATGTTTAGGTTTTCAAAGTTGGAGAAATATGATCAAATGTAAAAATAGTTTTAAAAAAATGTCAAAATAGTCTAATCTGAAAAAAATATTGAGAGGCAGTCCAACCTTTATTTGTATGTTAGATGGGAGGATCATCAAGTGGTTGGACACAACTCAAAAAATGGGTCGTGGGACCATTTTCATTGTGTCGTGGAGAATGTGGTGGGAAAAAAATGCTCAGTCAGTTTTTTTTTTTTTGACAGTACATGGCAGTGTTGGTCTGTTTACTATTATAGAGTATTTGTTTAGTGAAATTTGGTTCAGAATGCTAAAAATTTGGGTTATGACTCTATGGCTCAACCAATTGGGAAGCACTGTTCTAGATGCCTTCAAAGGCTGTCGTAGATGTTGGTGCGAATGTGACTTTGACTTGAATTGGTAGCAGGAGGATGCAGTCCGAGCTCCTGCTGCTCCCGGCTCACTGCTTCACAGTCATTGTAATTTATTGCATCGTTGTCCCCGCAGCTTCGGCACAGCAGAGTTGTGCCTGCATCACGTGAAGCTCGCCGCTCATCTGGTGAGTGCCGTCCGCCGGGTGGGTGACCACCTTCTCAGTGTTTGTAAAGGAACACACCGGGGGGGGGGGGGGGCTTCTCCCGCTAACTCAGTGCCTGGCCACTTGCAGGCTCCCTGCCAAAGGTGACAATTAGAGGCAGATAATCCTATATCAGACACCTGTCCGTTACATGGAGAGCATTGACCCCCAGCACAGCAAAGCCCCATTTCTGGCTGCCTCGTGCTATAGCCAGATTAAGCTCCGCCCCAAACACACTTGATTCTTTTTTTGATTGTCAGACAGGCTTGGAATCAACTGTCATTTAAATTTTTATGACATTAATTGGGATATTTGATCCAATTCTGCTATTGGCCAATATGACCATTATAACATGACATGTAAGAAGAAACTGTAACGGATGGTTTATGTACATGCAGCTCGTTCAGTGCTCATTTGCGTGGTGCAAATGTTTGTCTCTAGAAAAAGGACCAATAATTTAAATCACAACAGATCAAATCTTGCCCTGGGGAGTCTCACCACGTGATCCACCTGGGCCTGTTGCTGAGACGACTGTTGTTTCTGATGACGCCACAACACCAGGTCAGAAGAACCAGGGTTAAGTTGTATGTATACGCTTCTGGAACCTTTGGGAAGGGTTGCAGTAATGGGGTGGATGCTGTAACTGGACTTAGATGGAGCTGATAGAGAAGTTTCCCCCCGGCTTGGCCGAGAACCAGCCCGTGTGGCAGCACGTCCTTCTGAGGGCCCTCTCGGACGACGGCAGGAAGCGCGTGCAGCGGGACGTGGCGGCACTGGCCAGCGATGTCGTCGGCGGCTGGCTGGAGAAGGGGTGCAGGCTGGGGGAGCTGGAGCAAGTGGTGAGGATGGGAAAGTGCGGGCCGGAGGCCAGTTTGCCGGCGGGTGTTGCAGACTGTAGCGGGGATTCTCTTTGTCCGCAGAACGTGGCGCTCTCTTCCCTGCTGGTCGTGGCTGGAGAGGAAGCTCCGGAGTGCTTGCTGTCCGCGGCTAGGCTGGTCAAACGGCTGTGGCCTCGTATCTGCGCCCAGCAGGTGAGAGATGGCTTGAGGTTCACAGGTTTGTAGGTCACTATAGTGGCTACATTAAATAACATAGATATGGGATCCTATGAAGTGTGTGTGTATATTTGTAGAGTAAGAGTATGATGTGTTTTGTGCCTTTATGTATGCGACTGAAACTTTGACGTTGCAGGTCCAGAAGTACCCTGCAGTACAGCAGACTGTGAAACTGCTCTTCTCAATCTCTGCAGTTACATTACAAAAGCTGGACTCCAGTGACATCTGCCAGGTGCCCAATGAACCAATGAACTTCCTCTGTCGTTGTCATGTTTCCTGTTTATAAGTGCAGTCCAGGATTTTTGTGTTTTGTTGTTTTGTTGTTTTGTTTGGAGGCTCTGACGTGCCTCAGCTTCCTGCTGTCCATGGCGTGCCCTGACCACGTCCTGCTGGCCGGCCTGGACTTCTTAGCCTCCTTGGGGGGGTTGTTTATCCCTCCAGAAATTCAGGTGTGGCATGTCACCATATTGAATCCCAAACCATACCGTTGGTATCATTATTTGTACATTAACTTATGGTGCTTTTCCACTGCACCAGGTACCATACATTTGGTACTGCAGAAAATTCCTGAAATATGGTACTATGGTTGTATGACATCGCAACGCAAGGTGTGGTATTTTGTACTGAATTTGAAAAAATGGCTATAATATATTATAGGGCTGGGCCATGTGTGATATTAATGCCAACATTGCATGTTATGCACATGCAGTTCTCACATTACAAGGACCACCAAGCTTTTTTGGAATCCGGCTTTTTCATACCTCCATACCGTACGGACATTATAGCGTGGAGGGTTTAAGTTTCACTAAAAGATTTTTATTTTGTCAAAGGAAACAAAACTTAGCAAGCATTGCAGTTTTAATGGTTGTTCCTTTTCAAGATTATGTAGTATATGTTAAAAAAAATTAGTATGAAGCTTACCGCCGGTGCTTTAGCAGGAACTCTGCATGCGCTTTCCAGTCATTTTCATCCTTGCAGTTTAAATCACTCATAGACGGGTTTATGAGATTTATTTTTGTTGAACTCATTTTTGCTTTATAAATATACCAATATTTATTACAACAAAATCATATTGCAATATTTTTTTTTTTTCCCATTATCGCGCAGCCTAATATATTATAACAAAAACGTTTTTTAATTCTTGTCATGTTATGCAGATCTTCTTCTGGTTCTTCCGACCAGATCGCAAGTAAAGCCTGGGTCTCTTCTTTTGTCCAAGCATACATTATTATTACTTTTTAAATACTTCCTTTTATCTTTGTTTTCTGAGTTTGTAACTTTTTATCAAGACAGCGGTTGTGTTGTGTTTCAGAGGCAGGATATTTGCATAACCAGTCGACAATGAACACCTTTGCAAGTCCAAGTACCAAAAAAAGTATCCTACCTGGTTTGGTACTTATGTTACTGATGGTATACACCGGCAAAGTACCATACCAAAGGTGCAGTGGAAAAGTGCCCATATCTGTAACTTATAATTTGTGAAGGCATCTGTAACTAGCATCAAATGTCACACCTAGGTTTACTCCACCTTGCTGCAGCTTCCTCTTCCACTGAAGATTCTGCTGTAAACATACGAATTACATATTGAACCATTTGTTCACCCTCCACCGCAAACATTTTGCCCACAGAACCAAGTCCTGCCCAAACTCTGTAGCCTCTTCAGTCAACTCTTGGGTCAGACCATCTGGCCTCTTCACCAATATGCCTTAGAAGCCTTTTCCCGGTTTGCAGAGGCAAGTCTTTCAGTGTGCCCTCTTGCCCCAAGCGATGTGGGTTATATGCAGAAACAGTGCTTCACTGTATGAATTAAAAAATGTATTATTGTTACATCAGGTAACTAATCATGAAGAAGTGATAGCACAGAGTCTCACATCAGAAGGAACAAAAACCAAAGTGGTGAATTTTCTTAGCAAGGTAAGTCAGTCGATATTTTAAAATGCTTTATTTACCAAACTTTTACATGCATAGATTTATCATGACACCCCCCCTCCCCTCCCAGAAAGTCAATGGTGAGGAAACGGGGGAAGCACGAGTGAAGCGATTAAAAGAAGAAAGACATATTTACGAACAGCACTGTGCCAGACTGGAAAATGAGGAAGAGGAGTTGCTTGCTGGCTTAGAGGTAGTCAAATGTGTCGTATGTGCTTGGTGATTCTGAAAAATTATGCAAGAAGACCATTGTGCTGGATCACATGACTTTGTAATTGAACAAACCCCTCGCCGTCCCTTCCCAGCCATGCTCAAAACGGGCCCGACAGCTGACGAGCGAAGAGGAAGAGTTTGAGAAGCATCTCCAGATGGCAGAAAGCACCTTGGCCGCATTGCACTCTTTGGCGAAACGGACGCCGGCGCCTCAGTGGGCGAGCACCAGACTCCGGGAACTGCAGACGCTGATAACCCAAATCGGCACGGCTGGGCCCCCAAGAACGTAGCGTTCTGATAGAGAAAATGAGACCAAAATACCACCCTACTGTACATTCATGCTTGTTTATGCGGCCTGAGCTTTCATTGAGCTTCTTTCACCAGGAGGCCATTGTGTCTCAGGGTTATAGTACTCTACTGTTTATCTGGCTGATGTTAACACTTGCTCACTAAGGCAAATGTCAATTTTTAATAAATGTAAATTTAATAATACTAATTCCCTCCTTTTTTAAAATACACGGGAATCATCAATATTCTAATAGTCCTTTACAAAATTCATTTATTTAGAACTTTTTATTACATTAGAAGCCTCAAATACAAATAAATTACATCATTCTCCTCACTGAGATTAAATGCCCCCCCCCCCCCAAGGCCTGTTATTCAGTTCAGGGATGAAGATGAAGAAAGAAAAAAAAAAAATCAGCACTATGGCACACACCACATTAAATCCATCACAAATAAGAATAGTGCATTTCCCACCACATAAATCTGTCAAATTTTGGCAGGATTAAAATTTCCAGTAAAACCAAAATGTTACACAAGTACACCCAAAAGGAAACCTTCACAGTGTGCCACAGTAAACCTAAATGAAAGTTGCAGACAGAAAACTGCAGTAGAGCATTTGAAACTACTGGTTTGACAATGATTAAAAAAAAAAAAAAAACAAGAAACTAGTTCGATTTAACGTCTATAAAGTAGAAGTGAAGGCCCTGTTTCTGCTGACTCTCTCGGCCTCGTTCACTGTGATCAGCAGCTTCTGCTCCATGGTTTTGTGGATGGCCTACAGCCTCATCATGCGTCCTCATTCTCGTCTTCCCAGTTAAGGTCATCTCCATCACCCCAGCCTGCCACTTCATTCTACATAAACGAAGTTAAAAGGAGTTAGCACCGCTGACGCAACCCCAATGGGGAATAGACTTCCCGCTACAGAACAAAGATCAGGAGGGAAACAAAGCCAACAAGCTATTCTCGGTTGTTAATCATTCACCGGCTTAATCCAATTCTACTTAGCCCACTTCATTTTTCAGGTTTTTGGTTAAACTGGGCAGTGATTGACAGCACTGAGAGAACATTTTAAATGATTCCATATCCAAGCAAGGAAGTCATACTCACTTCGATTGTGTCTGCTGCAGCAAACTTTGCTGTCAACGCAACCGTATCTATTGATGGGTCCAGGCCTGTGGGCCCCGTGTGTTCAGAATTACCTATAATCGGCGTAACCAGTTCAGAATCACCTACAATGCCATCGGAGATCGCTGTCAAAGTGGCAGACGACAACTTAATGTCTGGAACCATGTCTGCAAAGAAGTCCATTTCTGGATCTCTCTCTGGCTTCCTCCTCACTTCAATCGTGAACTCCTCCCCTAAACCGCCCGCTGTAACCTGTTTTGGCTTTGCGGATTCCGCGGGCATCTTTGGTTTCACGTCGCCCTCTTGGTTCTGGCCGTCGCCATGCAAAGGGGGCATTCTTTCTAGCTGGGTTTTAGAAGCAGCACTCAGCTTTAAGGTTCCGGACCCTTTTACTGGTTCATGGGTGACGTCAGTCATCGAGTTCCGGGCTAGTGAGGCAGGGGACCGGTTTGAGTTGTCATCCCACGTCTCGCGTTGCTCCGTGGAGTCCACAACAGCCCCCTCCTGCTTCTCCACGAGGTGGACATTGATCTGCCCTGGCTGGTCCTCCTCCGCATCACTCCAGTCTGGCCATTCCTCTGCAGACTGTACGCGGCCCACAGGCTCTTCCAGGTTGTAGGCTTGCGGTCCTTTGGGGAATCCATTCAGAGTGATCGCTGAAAACGTAAAATGGCAAAAAGGCTGTCAGTGCACCACAGAGCAAAGAAAGCAGCCACAGTCAAACAGAACATCAGTATCTTTGTAGTAAAAAAGTTCCTCCGCATTTTCACATCATTATTCATGTAGATGCTATTTTTTATACCACGTTTTACACTTTACAGGTGTATGCTTTTATGTGCATCTACCCCAAAGTTTCAGGTCTACTTCAATCATGAATGAAGATAATGGAAACCAATCCTCTGATATGTCCTTAGATGGTACCTGATTTTGTCGTCATTTGTTCAGCTGATTTCTCCTTTGATCTGAGAGACTCAATGTTTTCCAGCACCAGCTCATTACTTCCAGAGGGTCTGGGGAAAACATTTAGGATTTTTGGTGGCTGGGCAATTTGTGGCTGTAAACTGATGTGAATAGGAGAGCCTTCAGAGACAGAAGAGAACCATAAATGTTCCTCGACACACACAAATAAAGAAATGTAAGGCAAAAAAAGATGGTACACTTTTAGGGGAAACGCATGCAGTTCTTACAATCTGGGGTGACTTCGGCAGACTTGGTGAAGTTGGGGGTCGTCCGTTTAAACACTTTAGTTCTCTCTCCACCCACCACAACTTCAGCTCCAAGTAAAGGAACAAGAACGGCAAGGCTCTGAAGCGTCATGGCAACTAACGAATCATTAGTGTCTCTCATTCCCAGTAAAATCTGCGGTAGAAGCAGGAAATAAATAAATATATATTGGTACACATATACAAGAATACATTAAATTATTAAGTGTACAGTCATCCTTACATTAAACTTTACTGATAAGGATTATTCAAAACAATAAATACAGATGAGGGAGACTGTATAAAAACCAAAAGCCACAAACCTGAGGTAGAATCTGATTTTTCAGGTCCTCGTGAGAAAAAAACTCTGCAAAGAGCCCGATGTGGCACAGCAGCACTGTCCTGACATGCTCCTCGTTGGCTTTGAACAGCTTCAGAAGCTGGGGGATGACATATTTGCGATAGAGGGATATGGACAGAAGACAATCCTCATTGCTGCCCCTGGAATCTGCTGGCCAGAAGCAAAACGGTTTTGATTACTCTCCTGAAACATTTTCCTTAGTAACCATAGAAAAACAAGCATCCACCCCATTGCTTCCAATTGTTTTTTATCCTGGCCAAGGTCGAGAAAAAGAATCTTGGTTTACTAACTTGAGAGAGTATGTTGATCCATCTGACCTCAAATATTTAAAAAATTCATTCGTTTTTATTGGCTGAATTACAACATGAGATAAGGAAGATATTCAAGCTGCATATTATAATACCAAAGCACCAAACATAATTAGTGATACCCTTCTTTGGCCTGAGAAGATGAGGGAGGAAACTTTTAACGGCGGCAGGCTCGGCAAACACCAGGGAGTTTAAGAGCTTTGGAACAAGGCGGACTGCAATCAGTTCTTCTGGAAGACTCTGTACCCGGTCCATGAGAAACCTGCGCAGGTTCATATTTGACACTTAGCAAAAACATCTAGGAAGAATCTATGACAGGCTTGAAATGTACCTGGGATTTTAGATTATATTGCTTGAAGAAGGTTATTGATGTGTAGTCCATACTACTTACAGGAACACTATAGTAACAACAAGAATCGTGTATTTAATTTAATGGCTCACTTGAAGAACTCATTCTTCTCTTCCTCTGTTTTCAGTGTCAAGCTCTTCAGAAAGTTTACCACGTCAAGAAAGTCATTCCTGTTTAACAGTGTAAAAAATGCATTTTACTGGCCAACAAGAAAAAAACTACACAGTACTTAACGAGTAAGCATTCCAATGTACTTATTGCACTTGACCAATCAAACATGAATCATGTAAACAGTTGGCATCAAGTCACCAAACAGGTCATTTTAACCCACACTTGCACCAGCATTAACGTACAGTACCGGAAAAACATGTGCGTCAGAAGATTGCTGAGGGGTGGCCTGGTCAGAGGATCTGGGTTCAGCAAACCATTTTGGAGGGTAAACTTGAGACTTTCTGACATTTCTGCAGAGACTACAGACAGCAAAGAAACAAAAGTTAAGAGACAGAAAACGGACATGCTAGAAAGCCTGACGAATATAATTTAAAAGCTACGTTCTCAGATCTGGTATAATACTCAGGAAAGTGTACTGGTATAGTGGTCTATTTATCTTGTGGTGCAATATGTGTTCAATGCACATTCAGACCATAACTGGGTAGAATTAATTCAATCACGACCAGCTTAAAGACCTGATATTGAATGTTGTATGAGACTTAATATTGTGTGTGACACGCAGGCAAAGGTTAATGATGGACAAAACGTATACTTACCATAATCACTCAAAAGTGGGATTAAGGTCTCCACTATGACCCCAAAGGAAAAGGAATCTCTAGAATGTCCATATTTTTCAGGAAGCATCTGGAAGCTTATAACCTGGAATCATTTTAAAATCAATGTTCAGTGCCTGATGATCCTTCCTTACGCCATTCTACCCAACAGGGGGAAAAAAATGAAGGAAAATGGGAATAATATAAATGACATACCCTTTCCTCTGGAGGAAGCACGCTTTGGTCTCTCACTGCCTGGATGCTTCTAAGAAACTGATAAAATAGAGACGTATTTGTATGTTTACCACTGACCGCTACTTCAAAGGGGAACTCTACTGTGAAGGGGAAAACGTTCATTTTGTTCATTATCAGATGAGTCTGTTTGCATAAGATATTTCTTACCACACATATATACCATAAGACTTGAATGAAAAGGCAGGCATCCCTTTCTGGATTTATACACCTTAGTTTCCCAATAATCTTTGGTGTAGTTCAGTGTTAAATTGACCAAAAAATATTGGAATAATTCCCCTTTAAGGGTTAATGTGATTATGGACATAATAAAACAGTGTATTACGCTGACATACCGCCGAGCTGTGACAAAGAGAGAGGCCAATGACAAGAACAGGTAAATCAGTTATATAAAGAAGCTCTAAGTAACAAAGCATTTATGTGCTTTGAAAATGTATGAGTGAGCAGCTTTGAAAAGACGTGCATGTGAGCCTTGGACTAAAAGCTCACCTCAAGAGTCGCTTCGGAGAATTTGCAGACCGTCTCCATTCCGCCCAGCTTCCAGTGCCCGTCTTCGCTGACGAAGATTGAGGACATGCATACATTGTTGTGGCTTGACTTGCCCTGTGAAAGGCAAACATCAAAAGTTCATGGCAGAACCTGCTTCACGTTCCCATCCATGAAACGGCCATTAGTTTAGACGACGTTCAAGACAATGTGTTAGAATGGAAGGTATTCAGCTCTATACAAACAACACTTTTAGCATGTACAATCAAGTCATTACAATTTATGCAATTACAACTAAAGCCAGAAATTTTACATGAATGTACAACATACCCCTTATTTCAAGCCCAGCATTTAAACATTACATTTCTCCTATAAAATTCCCACCTTAGTAACCTGTAGGAATTGTAATGTATGTATTGTGCTGAAAGCATCCACATTAGCTATCAATGGCAAAGACAGTTAAAGCACTATAATCGGCAGGGTGAACATAAATATTTAGCATACAAATGATCAATATCCTTAGTGTTCAATAGGATCTGCTTAAAAAGGCCAGGCTCTCACTATGTCATGCAGGAAAACCAGGGCCTGCAGCAAGTCGTAGATCCCAGAACAGATCTCCTCTGGTGAGAGGCTGTCCAGCACCACCCCCAGGGGCTGCACAGGCTCCGTTACCAGGTGGATGCCCCCATCCTGTACTGAGCAGGACAGGAATCGCAGAAGGCAAGGGTGTCGTAGGGTCTTCAGGTGCTTTTTGGGAGAGGGGGCAGTGAAAGGACAACATGTCTGTTTGTTATTTTTTTATTGTTCATAAGGTTAATAAAGATACATATATCATGACCTTAACTGTAATAGCCCCACGTTTTCTTAACCGACTCTCACACAAAGCAAAAAATATATTATTGTGTGTGGCCATGCTATATTTCAGTTTCAGACACATACCTTGGCAGCTTTATTGACTTTGTCTTCGTTACCCTGCTTATGAACAAACACGGAGGCCCGCTTGCCGTCCTGGAGGAGGGCAGAGTACATGGTGATCCCGGATGGGAGGGTGAGCAGCGGCTCCTCCAGCTTGCAGCTTCGTAGGGCGCTGCTCTCCAGACCCATCGTCGTGGCCGGACTCGGGGTCTGGACAGAAAGGGGACGAGCACATGACAGGCAAAGTAACCACAAGCGTCTTCCTGGTGCATCCTGACATAAACAAGTGAGGTTTAATATGCACTTTAGGCTATAAACAGTTATTTATAAACGAAGAACTTTCTTAAATAATGTATTAATGTCATAATACTAAAATCGATCAATTATTATTCGGTTATTCACCCGTGTAACAAGCTTCCATATTTGCAAACAACTGTGGGTTGCAGTAAAAACGCGCACATCCAACCATACTTTAATAAAGAGCAGGGGGTGCGTATTAATTAGTTATAGGTAACAACATAAAGCTTGCGTGGGACGCCTTAGCGTCGACGTGGTTTGTCATCAGGGTAGTTAAACGTGATGGCCGGAGAGCTGAAGTGCATGCATGATCTCCCCTAGAGGGCTACCTGAGTCGATCAATTTAAATGTGGAATCGTGCAGCTAGACGTGGAAATTCACTACACGGTTCCTCCCATACAGCTTTGTCAAAGCTGTTCGCCGCTGTAGGTGGAAGACATAAGCCGACAAACATTTGGGGATCTTCCAAGATCGCACCTGCACCACGGTGTGTCCGTCCTCCTAGCGGCTCGCCAGGGAGCTGGCTAACCAGCTAGACGCCTAGCCAGCGGCAGATGGCCGGCCACTCTTCGGTCCGCGACGGTGCCGCTGTACGTTTGCCGTACCGACAGAACTAAAGATCGAGTGTGTTCCAGCTTCCCCTAACCGTCGTCATTCGATCCCCTGACCGAAAAAGGCCAGAGTATCCATTTAAACTCCAAAAAATGTCCAAGGAAGACGCACTCCTTACAACTGCTTCCTGTAAACACCGGCACTTCCGTTCAGGAATAAACCATCGGTGGGCGCTTAAGGGTGCAGTCACAAGGCAATGGCGCTTTGAAAATAACAAAATATTGCAAATGACGTATAAGTTATAACTAAAATGTGTTATTATCCTTAATTTTTTACAAGAATATATAAATTGTCTCTTAAAGTTGGATTCCACGTTATGCGAAGACAAGTATAAATTGAAGTGGAACGGTCGCCGTCTTCGTAGTTGGGAAGTTTTGAACTTCGAAAACACGTTAGAGAATGACATTAATAGAACCGATTATTATTTATTAATGACATGTTGTCTGACCTAGACACTTGGAATCTGCTCGCCACTCTCGTCAGCATCAGTTTGTGGGAGGCTAAAATCTCTTTTGAATGTAAAGTTGTTGCAATGACATTTCTAAATATGTAAATCAACCTGTATGTATCATTCTCAAGAAAAATAAAAAATACATCTACAGTAATTTATTTGTACTGATTCAAATTAATTGAATTGTGTAACTTTGCCTCTAAATATGCCGTATCCTCTTTTTAATCTGTAACTGTCTGTTATACTATATTACAGTCAAACTGACAGTCACACCTCTCCGCCCAAGCAGGCACAGAAAACTGATTTATTATGAATTTCTACAGAGGCACATTGTCTCGTCCGGGAGTCGGCAGCCTGCGGCTCTTTGACCACGTGACTGCGGCTCTCAGAACGACAGCTGCGTTCACATTTTCATGTCTTAACGTACCGTAAAGATTAATTATTTATTTTTGGGTTAATATTATTTTTCATTTAGATATTTCTTTAGCTATATGTGAATGAGGCAGTCCGTCACGCGCTGCTGTAATGTTTTAACGGCATCATTTACATCTGCCTCAAAGTCATTCTCTACGACGAGAGTACGTCTCCGGTCAGATGGTACGCTGTAGGCTACCTGAGGTTGGACGTACGCTTCAACATTTATTGGGATTCCTAATTCTTTCATATATGTTTTGTAGTAAATCGTCACCACGCCTAACCAGGTCTTCGTAAAAATGATTATATTTCCTCCGGTTTACATATTATAGCCAGTTGAATTGTGACTACATTTGCACTGTTCGGTCAGTACAGTTACAGTAGTGAAGAGGAGAACGAAGGGCAGACGGCTGCAGAGCCGAACGAAAGAAGGGCTGAGGGTGACGGCTATCGCCACAGAACCGAACGATATTGTGATATTAGTCACCTTTGCGCTGTTACGCGTCCGAGTGATTTAAAATGCCCCCCGAAATTGGTTTTATTTATTTTTTGTAAGTACTTGAACTTTTGTTTTTGTGTTAACTGCAAATATGCCCGTTATTTTTCACATAAAAAAATAGTATCTCAAACCCCACTTCTCTACCCATTACGGCTCATTGTAAATCTTATAGCCTAGTTCAGATATTTAGAAAAAAATGGGTCTTTGCTTTAAAAAGGTTCCGAACCCTGGTCTAGTCAGATGGTGATGACTGTTTCTAACGTGGTTGTGATTAACACGTCTTTTATTGTTCATATAAAAGGGATTCTGATTTCTGTTGTAAACGGTTACAACTGCAATAAATATCTGAGCGTGATTCGTGATTGCTGTCCTTTTTTTCTTTCCGGTGTTCACGAATTAAGTTAATTTTTTTACACCATGTTACACAATATAGGTCATTTCAGAAACTATTTCAATCATCTAATTTTAGGACTGTTTAATTGTGCTCCGTTATAAAAAAAAATCAGAAAGTGGAGAGGGTTGGTTGGAGGAATGGGGTTCCTTGAATATCAGTGTTTTTGTTTACTTCATAAATATTGCAATACTTTTGAGTATTGAAGGAAATATTTTGACCTTAATTTTTACATTTTAAACTAGTCTCTGTCTGAACAAATGTTCCAGACTGTTAGAACTATTTTACTGAGGACGGAGTCTTAGCAATAGGCCAGCATTTGTTTTCAGAGACATTACTTCAGTAAAATAAGTTTATAAATAGTAAGCCTCCAAATGTCTTCCAGGGGTATTCTTCCATATGCTTTTTATCAGACATGAAATGCTAAGGTCTGCCTCGACACCTCATAGGAGCCATGGCGTCATTATGCAGGCAGTGCCTGAAACAGTTTGTTATTTCTCAGAGTTGAATAGGGGATTGCAGACATCACATAATTCTCCCGGGAGGATTATTAACATATGACTGGAGATGAGTGTTACAAGTTATGCTTTCTGCTGCATTCATATTTTCTTCCACGTTCCAAAATATTTGCGCTTTAAATGAATTATTTGAAGTCAGTCATAGAGAGCTTTGTTAACGTTCATCGCATAAAAATGGGCACAAAGTGCGCTCCCACTCTGGAACACCCACTTGCAGGAATCCCTGCCAGTAGGAAACAAAACTGAATAACCGACCGGTGTGAGAGAAACATTAAAACATTATGCCAGAATTTCATTTTGACAATTTCGATCAGTTCATCTGACAGTGTAATGTCTTGGTAAATTATTGGCACAGACGTGTAATTCTTTAAAGCAATTCTGAAATGCATTTAAATTAAAATAAACGATGAGCCCAAATGTATATACTTTAAATTCCAAACAGATTGTTTAAATACGGCGTTAATATTAATTGAATTGTTGTGTGTAAAAATGATCCGATCTGAAGAACATTCTGTATATCTGGCATTTAAGACGGGAGTCAGCATGTGCTGTTACCCCGCACTCTTCGCGCAGATAACGCTGGTGCTAGTCCAGGTATTACTAATAGTTTTCATGAGTAAAAACAGGAAGTCTACGTCTCCCTTTCTTTTTTGCCTTCGGTTATGGCGTAGGATCATTTAATTAGAGGAACCAGCCCAGACTGAAAAAAATCCAGCCCTCACTATATAAATTACCACCAAAGAACATTTAGATTCACAGGAGCTCACTTGACAAGAAGTAAGATTTCTTAATTTACCTTTGTTTAAAATTGATTTAGTACAACATATGAATTTGAATGTTTATTTATAAGTATAATTATTACATTATAAAGAACAATGCGAAGTAACGGTTAATATATTAAATGTAATTTAAAAATATTCTTTTACTGTCTTTATCTTACAGTAGGCCTATTAGAGCAATGGCCCACACTTTTATACCACCTTGCCTTATGGTGTTGATGTATCTTCTTCCATTGTGTAGCGGACAACGTAAGTGCGGTATCTTTCACCGAATCAAAGTGCAATATATTCTACTGGCAATGTATAGAGCTAAGAACATTTCAGACACTAATTACTGTTTACATAGTTTAATGATTAAACACAAACAGACCCATGTTCGGAAACCTTACTGGTTGCTCAACAGAAGTTTTCAGCTGCAGCTTTAGCATTATGGTGAATGAATATGTCGTTCCCTTAACAGCGAGCTGCAGAAACCGATGCGGAGAATCGTATCATCGCGGCAATCGCTGCCATTGCGACTACAGCTGCATCGTTCACAATGAATGCTGCGGGGATTATGAATCTTTGTGCACCACGGGTAACGGTCTTCTTTTGGTGTTTATTTGTGAAGGAATGCACAGCCCCCTGAACACATCATATGGCTGTAGCACTGCTAGTATCGTGTACAAATGACCGCATAAAAAGCTATACGGCTTATATGTGTCCTGTGTGGCGCTCTTTGGCATTAGACAGCAATCTTATTAATACCTGCATGCATTGTAGAACAGAGTTACTCTTGGAGGAAGATAAGAAACATCACCATCAGCAGAAAGGTTCAGCTTTCTCTGTCTTTCGGGTTCACGGGAGAGTTGGTACTGGAAATAATCATTTTAAAAACAGCGTACAGTTATATACTTGAAAGTTATGTTTGCAGTAGGTGTAGTTTTCCGTGGCCTATTGAACCTGAAAATATATCATAAATAAATATATGGCAAATACAAGCATAAGGAATATAAATGTAAGAAATTTAGAGAGTAGGTTTGATTTGCAGGAGACTCGTGTAAAGGGCGATGTGGTGAGTCCTTCAAGCGAGGCAGACAGTGCCATTGTGATGCTGAGTGTACTCAATATAACCAGTGCTGCCCTGATTATGTGGGGAACTGTGGTAAAGGTAAGTCCTGTGTTCTAGTAAGTCATGCATGCTCACTTCTGGCATGATTATAATGAAAAAAATGCATCCAGTATTATTAATTCGTCCGTCCATATAAATTTGTCCACTGCTTATCCATATTAACTCATATTACTCAATTAAGAAAAAAACGTATCCTTGTGTATTTCTGAGGAGGAGCTTTTTCAGGGAATAGTTATATTATACGGCATGCATTTCCAAAAAGAAGTGTGTCCAGCACTGTAATTAAGTGTAGAGCAATTTTTCTAAACTTAGCTCGTTTTTAAGATAAGACCGTCTGCCTTCCTCATCATGTCACAGTATCAGGAACCAAAACTCACTCAGTCCTCACGTATTCCAACGAAGAACTTTCACTAAATTTCCAAAACTCTCATAGTCCACAGAAATCTTCTCCAAAGTGTATCCCATGGACTGAGTGAATTTTGGAAATTTGCTTTTCAATCATGAAATCCATGAAATGGCTAGGATTTACTTATGGGACTGTCTTCAGTTTAGAGCCTATAAAGCTGTCGGGATTTACTTAGTAAATTACAGAAAAATAACTAAGGGATCTTGAGGTACTCGCCTGCTTGAACCACTGGTTCAAAGAAGGCAGTCAGGCTGCAGATGTACTCTGAGCTGGAGCTCGAAGAGACTTTTTCCACAGGCGGCAGATGTTTCTGGCCCATCGGAGAAGGGTCAGTAATCAGGATTACTGTATGTGATCATGTAGCGGAGTCTGCGGACGCCGGATCCACTCCCAGTCCAAAGAATGGTGAAGGCTACGAGCCCCCAAAGCCGAACACACCCAAAACGGATTCGACGCCTGAAAGCACGGCTGTCCCTCAGCGCTCTGAGCAGTACCTCCAGGATACCTCCGGCATGGAATCAAGCTCAGTTTCAGGGGACGGGGATGGATCGTTTCAAGAAAATCAGTCTGGAAGTTCTCCAGAAACAACTACTCTTTCCAGTGGCCGAGATGTGACTACCATCTCTGCAACCAGCAACCCAACGGCCACAGGTAACGAATACGTTGCTATGCTTGTAAATGACCACTTGCTTATGCATGGAAATAGTGTTACACGTACCAGCATGCTAGGCGAGAAAAGAGTGTTACCCCCCAGCTGACAAACATCAGCTTTGACGGATTTTATCAGTGCCATGAGTGGTTGGAAGACAGATGAATGATATAAAACCTTGAACACATGGAAATGCTAATCATTGCTCTACCAACCACTTATCACCAGAAGCCTGTCCCAGGCAGCATAGGTCAGTGATTCTCAATCCCGTGTTCGTGGATCCCCAGACAGTCCACATTTTTGCTCCCTCCCAGCTCCCTGGGACAGGTTGCCAGTCCACTGCAGGATACCTGACAAATACTCCCTAGGCAATTTATAGGCAGCAGTTATCTTAACTGCATGTCTTGGATTATGGGAAGACACCAAAGTACCTACAGGAAATCCACACAACACAGGGAGGACATGGAAACTCTACCCACACAGAGCAAACGTGGCATTAGAACCCTCACCTCTAACCCTAGGGGGGGGTGAGAGAACAGCAGTACCCACGGAGTATTAAGCAGGGATATTTTGACTCTTGGAAAGTTACGTTCCATATACTTTATGGTTAAAAATTTTGATTTTCTGTTTTCTTCCTCTCCATTATGACAGTGACCCCTGCTGATGAACCCTCTGATCCTGAACCTTTCACTAAAGGGAATGACCCTGATGTCAATATGAGCTCTGGGGGAGGTGAGAACTCCCCCAGTGCTGAGCCCTCAGGTCACATCCCTGAGGGCATAGAGGAGGTAACTCCTGATCCTTCTCTTGGGTCAAGGAGCTTTGTGTTCACAGAAAATCCCACAGATGCAGATACACAGGGATCAGATACGGAGGGATCGGACACTCCATCTTCTGAAAAATCTGTAGCAGGAACACCACCAACTGATCAGAAGTTAGATGAAACAAACTCTGAGGATCTTGCAAATGGAACATTATCGCAGGAGGAGAGTTTACATAATCCAGACTCCAGCTCTTCGAACAATGGAAATCTAGCTCCCTTGAGCTCAGATGAGTTCAGTTCTACACATAGCCCCGAGACCATGCCTTCAAATGAGAAAACATCCCCCACACCCCAACAGCCCACTACTCCGGGAAGCTCAGTTCCTAATGTGTCAGCGGACACGGTGAACATTTCGGGTGACGCCCCTGATGACACCTCCCTCCCGGAAACCCCACCCGCCGAAGTGGATTCTCAGACAGAACCGGTGCCCTCTGCGCTTGACACACCGTCTGCAGATGATATGGCTGCCAGCACTGCTCAGCCCGAACGTCCAGCTGCTGACCAGCCAGCCACAGCTGATGCTGAGCGTCAGGATGGAAGAGGGGATTCTGGGGACCCCAGTTCTGTGGCTGTAGACCCAATAGCCTCCACTGGGAAGCCTAGCAAACCTGAAATGCAGACAAACGGCACAGAGGCCCTAAAAACCGACGATCCCACCGACTCCGACTACCTGGCAGGTAAAATCCTCTCCCCATCATCATTTTCTTTGGCTTGAAACATTAGGACAGTGTTTCCCAACCCAGTCCTCGGGGAACCCCGGACAGTCCACGTTTTTGCTTCCTCTCGGCTCCCAGTGCACCTGTGCCAGGTATTCGGTGTTCCTGATTGGCTGAGAGCTGGGAGGGACCAAAAATGTGGACTGGTCGGGGTTCCCCGAGGACTGGGTTGTGAAACTGCATTGAGACTATTTAGTCTAATTGCATCAAATTCTGACATTGAATGTTAAAAGGTGGAAATATATTCAGTGCTTCTGGAAAATGCAGAGTGTTAGCTCATCTGCAGTCAGTTAAGTGTCTTTTTCCTGAATGCTGGTACCATTTTCCTGACTTTCATTTTCAGACAGCAGCAATGACACCGACCTTTGCAACGGACAACCCATCAGCGGGCTCACAACTCTCCGCAATGGGACGATTGCTGTTTTCCGTGGTGGGTAACATATCGCAGTCATTTCTCCAATTTTCATCCACCAGTATTCAGTTGTTTTAACTGTTCTACTGAAAAATGGACTAATACTGATCACAGGATATATGCAGCCATTGATGTGTTCGACACTTTTTCAGGTCACTACTTTTGGATGCTGGATGACAACAGGGTACCGGGTCCCGCCCGTAGTATCAGAGAGGTGTGGGGCATCCCATCTCCTATAGACACGGTCTTCACCCGCTGTAACTGCCAAGGAAAGACTTACTTCTTCAAGGTACATTTACAGTTTCCCATGCCATACAACCATTGTAGAAATACAACCATTGACAAGTCATAGTTAAATATTAACTGAAGCTATAGAAGAACAATAAACGCAAACTACTTTGATCTATGTACACTATCTGTGCTTCACAGGGGAACAATTACTGGAGGTTTGAAAATGACGTCATGGATCCCGGTTACCCTCAATCAATCTCCGCGGGCTTCAGTGGACTGGCTGGCAAGATCACCGCTGCCTTGGCCGTCCCCGAGTACGGGCGGCGATCAGAGTCTGTGTTTTTCTTCAAACAAGGTAATTTCTCATCGCTGCTCAAACCGCTCATGGCTGTACATTTACTACTGGCCTCAGTGTTTTATCTTTTGTTGCCCTGTGGTTCACTTCTAGGGGGCCTGCTACAGAGATACGGCTTTAAATATGGGACAAGCCCAACCTGTGGCCAGAGACCCAGGTACATGGTGGTCACTGTCAGGAGCAGACATGCCCGACAAGCAGGTAAAGGTGGGCCTCACTTCTTGGTTTTAAAGTTAACGTAGGTAAATGTATAGCATGTGATATTCATGCGACTGAACATGCCAGAACCTACAGTCTCCACAGAAACACGTCACATGTCCAAGTGACAGAGGCAAAGAATAAAACTGAAATAACATCAACTGTACAAAGTCGTTTAGGATTTATTCATCCTTGCCCATTGTTGGATAGACAAAAGTTTTGATAGATTATCGTCCGATTCTTTCATTTCTACAGAAGACGGCCTTGAAAGGGAGATTAAAATCACATGGAAGGGACCTACTCTGGTGACATCTGCAGTCTCTGTACCCACTCCCAGGACACCAAACGGCTATGTCTACTACATCTTTTCAAGGAGTAAGTGCTCTGTTGAGTATTAGCTTTGGATGGAGGCCAGGGTTTCTTTATTATTAAATTGACACATTGACGCACATGGGCTTTCTGGTCCACACTGACAGACCACGCTTGAGAGGTTGGCAGACGCCATTCATAGGAAGTCAGCTCACCCACTCAGAGATCCAACTGTCTAGTCATTCTGTCACTAAAGAAACACCCATCGCTGGTAGGCTGCAATGTCATGAGAGCGTCAGGTGTTAAGTCTACATTCACTTTGTGTTTTCAATGGGAAAGGTTACCATGAACTCAGTAGCTGTTTTTCCAGCCCCCGGATTTCTTGCTTGTATTACCTGTCTGACCAGTTTGAGACGTCAACAAAAGGTAATACATTTTCTTGTCTTCTCCAGCAAAATATTACAACATCAAGGTCGATGGCGATCAACCAGCCTTGGCCTCTCCAGAGCCTTCACAATCTCAGGAGAACTCCGCAAAGAGCTGGTTCAACTGTCCCTGAATTTCCTTGCCGAAAAGAAAATGAACACAGACTGAAATTCTTAATTTTTAATAAAAAACACAACACTGCTTTGCAGGGATTATTCAGAAACCTTTAAAAGTACAATAAAACACACAAACACCTAAAGCAAAAACAAGATAAGATCTCAGTATATTATGAACTACAGTAAGCCTACGGCTATGGCAATACAGCTGGATCCATTTCATGCTTCACCTGGCGAATCGACCCCTTATTCCCATTACACCTGCAGAAGAAAAATTATATATGCAGCTTTAAATAAAATGAATGACCAAAGCCAGAAGTTAAGAAATGTATAAAAGAAATTGAGGTGTATTTGTTCAGTTTGCTGCTGTCCTCTGATGTACGAGTTCTACCTTTTTGTATTTTGATTAAAATGCGAAAACCTGAAGCCTGTAGCTGTGTCCTTGCTCACCTCTCCGGAAGCCTCTGCCCCTCTGCTCTCTCCAGCGCTGCAGTTGGCGCCCAGGAGGGGCTCTCCAGGGTTTGGGCTGGCTTCTGCTGCTGCTTGGGTCTGTGGGGAAGGGTAGGGTTGGGCTTAGCAAACATCAAGCACAGCCCCATGGCAGAACTCCCGTTTCCCATAGACATCCTCAGAATCACAGCGGCTCTGCTCTTACACGCTGCCTAAGCTCAAGTCCTGGGTGGTACAGGGGAGCTGCAGTCATTTCCCATTAAAATTTCATAATGAAGAGTGTTTGAAGTTACACAAAGGGAGTACAGATCCAAATCAAAAGCAGCACGGCTTGTTCCAGCAGAGTCGGTGTCCCCAGTTCCCCTCGACCGACCTGAGGAGCTGGAGGGCGGCTCCTGACTGCTGGACGAGAGGCTACCGCTGCCTGACGGCTGGGCCAGCACCTCCATCTCTGTCTGGCTCTCGGGTTCCATACTGGACTCAGCCCCGGTTCTGTCCAAAAGAGCACAGTGTAGTCTCAGGTACGCTTAAATTAGAGTCCAAGCAATTTAATGGTTTGGTCATGGTAGATTTATTCTGGAAGTTTGTGGACACGATGGGGAGGATGCTGACACATCGATGTACAATAGTGTGCAATATCCAAGATGGCGCCTGGAAGGGTTGCACTGGTACAAGCTCTTCTGCTGTTATATGTTTTTGTCAGTAAGGGTAAGTTTGTACCATTCACATTTTTTCCTGCATTCAACATACTGACTGAGTGCTGAACGTTAGCTTACGGTCTAATATATCCCAGACCTTGACATACACCATTTTTAGCCAACATTATTCACTTTACATGGGTGAAGTCATAATGTTTTGTCTCATTGGTGTTTACAGCCAAGAAGGTTTATTACACCTCAGGCAGTTTGCAAATAGTCATTCGGTATGTTCATGTGCAATTCCAGATGAATTACATGTATTGAGTATACCTGGAGTAAACTTACCTACACCGGGTAAACAACGACGATGGACCAACACCCACTCAAAATGTGAACGTACCATCCATCTCTACCGGCAATGCTCATATCAAACATCCATTTCATGAACTTTTTCTACTCCTCCAAACCCAAAAGGATTTCAATGCCGGGCAATCTGCTTCAGGCAAACCTGGCTTGACCAAAAAGTCCCAGACTTTGCCGTGAACCTTTGTGAGCTTGGCCAGCACATTTCTGCTCTTGAAAAAACTTGTTTGGATTCAGCTGTAAGAGTTCTGGGGCATCTTACTCATGCTCGCTTGTTGGACGAGCTGCCCAATTATGTACTAAGTGGATCACAACAGCCTCAAGGACAAAACACTGGATCACTGACAACGCGTTTCGGCAAGCGTGCCAGTTTTCCCATCATGCACCCCTTGGTAAGTCTGCCTGTGCTATGCTGCTTTTAATTCCCATGTACAAACAAAGGCTCAAAGTCAATAGACCAAAAAACAGTGACTGATGTCATGGACAATGGATGCTACTGCGACACTGAAGGACTTTTAGCTGCACTGACTGGGACATTCTCAAAATATCTAATGGCAGACAACTGTACTGATGTGGCATCATCATACATTTAATTTTAGAATTTATTCCGCATATGATGTGTTTCACACTATACACATGATGGATGCTCTCTGTACTGACCAGGGTCTTCTCAGCGCTGCACTACTTGAATTTCCACAAACCACTGCATATCATGCCTTGTGTTTACCCCCTTTGTTTATCATGTGTCTTTATTCTTTATAATTGTTATTTATCAATCGTGATGTCAGATAACAGTAACAAGCGGTGCCAACTAAAATTTCCACTGGCCTTGGTTTTGTGGCATAAGGATAAAAATTTGTCTGCTAAAGAATATTTTGTTTATGTTCACGCTTTTTCAGAAACTCTCAAAGCGCCCCAATGTGAACCACTTACATTCCTATACATGCACATGTTGGTTTAATTCGACCGCTAGTCTACAATGCTTGGTTAATCAATACCCTATAAGTTAACCAAGTTAAATTAATTGAGCTGGTGGTGAAATTTAAACAGGCAGAGCACCCATGAGAAGTTTGGGCACTAAAGTTGCAGTCTTGTAACCATCCAACTAGCTCTCAGAAACTTCTTGAAAAACATTCTTTTTGCTTTTTATTGTATTACTGAGAAAACCACTATATACTGCTCACATAAAAGCTTTTATATAGTACTGTAAATATGACTATTAAATGATTATTAAAACAGTCTGGAACAGTGTTGCAGTGTTTTATAAAGTTATTTTAAGCTTCATTGTGTCCCTCCTAAGACTGTTTTTGGTCAGATTATGTGAATCACTTTTGCTGAAATCAAGATTCACCTTTTGCAGGCTGTATGCTGCAGACAGACCCCTGTGCCATGCCGGCTTTTCGACCAAAGCTACGGAAAAACCCGCTGTTGTTCACCGTAGGAGCCGCAAGTCATCGTCCTACCCGTCACTCTCCGTCTCCAAGAGCACCTCGTCTGCGTCATCCCTCGGGCTGGCCATCCCATGGGGCCGCTGACCCGCCGTGGACGTGGTCGCCATGGGAACAGACTGGGAGGCATGCTCCGACCCGTCGGAGGGATTGGACTCCGTGAACACTGTCACTGGGAGACAAAAAGTATGTGTGGTTTAAAAAAAATCAGTCATATGGCAGAAAAAGGAAACGGGGCAAAAAAAAAAAAAGAGTAAAATAAAAGGCCCAACAAAGTGGCATTTGTTAGATCTCAGTTTAGTTTTAGGTCCAAAATGTACAGGTGTGCTGGCACTTACCTGGCGCTGCCACCTGTAGCGGGGTGGTGGGCACACTGCGGCCCCCCGACTCCTCATGCTCCCCCATGAATAGGGGACTCTCATACATTCCTAGACCTGAGAAAGGAAGGGTGACCAGCTGTGAACATGTGACTAACCTGCGGTATATCAGTTCACATGCAGTTAAGAGAGAGTCCATTCCACCAGGCACTCCAGCTTCTGCCATCTATAAATTGCCCATAGTCTGTGAATCTGTACTGGCCCCAGTGACAGACTGACATTATTTCCAGTGAACCCCTGTGCCTTCTGGATGGTTCACTAACCATAATTCTATGTAATCCAAGTAACCTGGTAAATGAATTCCCATAGGCTGACATTGCCCTGGTTTCACGGCCCCATTTCAAGTTCCAGAACTGCATGGGACTGTGGATTTAGTCCCCCGTTATGTAACCAATCCTCAGGAGATCAATTCATCCAGCATAGTGCAAGATATTTCATTTTCTACATTCATGCTGTAAATGCATGCGGAGGAAAATGTAGAAGATAGCAAGCATGTACAGGTATTACAAAGTAAAACGACAGTCCATGGTTTTCTTCTAGGTTTATCCTAAACGATTATTCTGCTGAGGGTTTTTTTTTTTCAGGCAGCATAGGGCACAAAATGGTTACACTAGGGGTGGCCAACCTCATCCACAAAGAGTCAGTGTATGCAGGTTTTGGGGATAACCTTTAAGTCAGCTGTTCAAACCCAGGTGTGAGGATTCCTCAGCCAATCAGTCCTCTAATTAGTAATCTAATTAGGTAGTTGCAGCGAAAACCCGCATACAGAGCGGCCCTTTCTGGATAAGCTCACGCTCCCCTGGGGTGCGACCTGGGTGTGATTCCAGACCATCACAGGGAATGCAGGCACGCACTCATCTACACAACCACCGTGGTGGTTTTCCTGACTTGGTTCATTTTCTACACCAAACTGCATCACTGACCTGATTTTGCAGGCGACAACATACCTCCTTGCGAAGCTAGCTGTCCCAGGTCCGAGCCAGCCTGGCCCATATCTTCAGGCGGACCGAACCGGAACCGGGGAACACCGGCCACCTGAGGAGAGCTGCTGACGGGCAATAGCAGGGTTAGGGAGGAGGGCTGAAGCAGGAGTGTTCAGGACGCCTCAACATGCACTGGACACGACAGCGCTCAAGTCGGCCCGGCTAATTCACTTACTGGATGGCCTCGGCGAAGCTGTCACTGCGGTGGGGCAGCATCAGCGTGGGGGTGCTGGGAACCATCCGGTCCTCCTCATCGAAGCAGGGCTGCGGCACAGCATAGAGCAGACGGGACGCCTTAAGACGGGGGGGGGGGGGTGAGCTTGGACTCTCCCTGTTCTCCCAATACACACGGATGGGCAACTCACCGTGTTGCTGCTGACCGGAGGGACGCCTTGTGTCCCTCGGCCCCCAGGGAACTGACGTCTAATGGGAATGCGCTGAAGGAGAGAAAAGCATTGGCATTCAAAACATGAAAAACAGATGCCCACAGGGACCAACGCCCAGACGCACGTTTCCGGGTGAGAAAGGCTGCCGTGAGCGTTTATAAGAAACCGTACGATACTAGATAAATGCGCACACACCTGCGGGGGCGGCCCGAGTTCCTGGGCGGGGGGGACCTGGATATTGAGTCGGGGTGGCAGGGTATGAGACGGTCTCCGTGGCGACTGAGGTGGGCGGGGCACCTGCCGGTCAACATTCAACTGCTGGTCTGGCTGGGACTCTGTAGGAAAGGTTTCCATGTTGCTGTTGCTTCCTTCTCCTGGAATGAAGGATACATTAAAATTTAATTCATGTTATGAGAGAAAAATCAATCAGACCAGGAAAAACTGGACTTCATCCAAGCCCCTACACCCACAGACCGACGCCCATCAGCAGCACCAGGAAAAACAAACTGTTTAAAATTACCACTGGATGTCTGGGTGTCGGCCAGCCTCTGGATTGAGTCCCCAGCCCCCAGGATCTCCTCGTTCTCCATGCTGGCGTCATTGGCCTCGGTCCCCTGGACCACGCAATTCATAAACAAAATCACCACTCCATGCGGAAAAACCCGAAAACAAGTCACATGTGTGACGGAGTGTGAGCTTTCAGGGAAATGAGGATGCCATGTGCGTTCAGTGTTTAAACAATAAAAGCAAACACTCCCTCCCTTCCTCCAGGACAGTGACG